TATATATAGATATATATAGTACATGTAATGATGAACCTGATGAAAATAAAGTTAAAATATGGGAATTAGACATTACTTTTATTAAAGCTCACTATTATTATAATGATTAGTCTTTTCTGCCTGATATTTTAGAACAGATTTGCCGAGATGTCATGAATACAACTTTCTGTTCACCTGTACTAGTGCTAGGCTGTGGATCAGGAGGTGCAATGGGAGGGACATCAGGAGGGACTTTGTTTGGCAGATCATTTAAAAAACTGATGTTTCTGCCACACAGACAACAAAATGCAGGAGACGCTATCAGTGCAGATCCGCAGAATGGACAATACATCTGTGGTGGTGGGGAAGAAGAGGAGAGTTACTAAAATTGGAAAGGTCCAATATAAGGAGATTGTACAGTATATGAGAGAAAACTAAAGTTAACGTTGAAATTGCACACCTGATTTGCACAAAATCTGTTATATACTTTATATATATTGACAATAAAAGTTATTTCACTGCACCTTTTTATCCATTTTATCTACGCTGCTTACCATACAGAAACACTAGTTAGCTAACGCTATTATCCCGAGTTACTAGGTTTAACGTGAGCTAATAAGAGTTAAACACAGTCTGTGGCACACTATCCTTAGCTAGGTACATTTGTTGCTCTTTTATAGTACCGTAAGAGATGTTTTTTTTTTTTTTTTTTTTTTTTTGGTTAATGCAGCATTTTCCATTTGCATGTGTTTTGTTCAATACCGCGTTTGTGTCTTTTGCATGTGTTGTGACCGTTTCGGCCACCGTAAACTCTGTTTTCCGGCAGTGACGTGGCAGGTGACGGACAGGTCGCTCGTGTCCGCCTCGGCTCGTTTTGGAGCTGTCCGAGGTGCTGAAGTCGCTGTCAGTTGGAGTGCGCGTCTGTCAGCAGCCGAGGTGCCCCAGGACAGCCTGACACGGGGCTGCAGAGGAGAGATGATGATGCTGTCAGGGGGAGGCTAATCTAATTCTGTTGCGCAAAAGAGTTAAAAAGAGCTCCACATCTTGGAGCCAAGTTAACCAAGGAGATATTTTATCAAAGGCAGAATATTTTTACTACACATATCTAGCTACTTAGCAAGCAGTGGTTTCTAACGTTTTGGCTTGTGACTCCAGAAAATGTGTGGTTATGTAGCTGTGACGCTTCCTGGCAGGTTATGGCCTTATTGTGGACAAGACATGAAGAGGTAAACACATTCACAACACTACACAAAGTTTAGAGAGAGGTAGAATACAGTTTGGCCTACAGAACATCCATTACATTTTGATGGTGATCCAGATCATTACTGAGCTGCCTCGGTGGAAGTTTGGTCTCTGAGTGCTGTCTAGCTGGTCATGTGTCAGTAACGCCAAATATCAAAAACTCGGGGCTGTACCGGAAGCCAGCAAAGAAAGTTTGGAATCTGCACTTTTGAACATTTACTCGGTGATTACATTGTTTGTTTGGCTTCTTCTATTAAAAACTTTGTACAAGATGTTTGTAAAAGATATGTCTATAGTGCTCAAAGTTAGGTATTGAAATGTGTCCTTCTGCTATCAGTTGTACT